CGGACCACGAAGCCGCCAGGCTCTTCGTGCAAGGTATCGTGGTTCCACACCCACACCAGCAGAGCGACAGCGAAGACGACTGGCGCGAGGGGCAGGCTCCTCCCGCCGACGCGGCAGAGACCTCCGTCTGGATGCCCATGCTCACGGCTTGCCAAGCATGCAACCCGCAGGGCGAGACAGGGCAGCGCATTTGCGGCGCTGCCAGGCCTCGCATGGATAGACAAGCCGCCCGCGCCGGAAGGGGAGGTCAGACGCCTCCCCATCGCCAGCCGCGCGACGCAAGCGGGTGACCGCCTGGCGATGCTACAAGCCGCCGGCACGCGGGCAGGCTGGATAGTCCTTGGTCGAGGATGGTTTCCCTGCCCGCGCACGGCCAGTGGACCAGGGCATGCTGCCGCGAATGCGACGCCCACACTCTGACCCTGCGCGCCAGCAGAGACATGGAGCGCGGCGACGAAGTCACCGTGAGCGACTCTCGATTTCCAGCGGCAGACGCCGCCCAGTGGCCATGCGAGGCCACGTTCGACTGGGGCGGTAGAAGCATCCTGGAAAGGCCAAAGGTCGCCTGAGCCGGGGCCCTCCTCCTGTGGAAGCACGATCCCAGCGTCGGCTCTCGCAGAGTGGTCGCCGCAGTAGTGGTCGCCTTACCCGGGGATGACAAAGCGCAGACAGCGGAAGCCGCAGGGTGCAGGGCTGGCCTCGCCCTCCCCCCGCACATCGACGGCCCCGTCCGCGGCGCTAGAGTTGTCGGCGACAACCTCGCCGCCATCCGACGCGGCGCCGGGGCGGGGCGCTACCGGCGGCCCCACCTGGCTCAACAGATGGACTACGCCCTGAGACAGGCGGCCAACGGGGGCTGGACGCTCTCCTGGCAGGCCGTCCGGCGGCGGCTCAACAAAGCCGCCGACCGCCTGGCGACGCTCGGCGTCTTTTGGGCCGACGCCTTGGGATAGCCGGACATCGCGCTGTTCATATATTTGTCGCGATGGCAACACATCCCACCTCCCTTCCCACGGGTCCCCTGGTCTTGGCGCGAATCTCTGTGACCTGGATGAGGTCTTCCTCGCCGCTACCGCTCTGGCAAGCTCCCCCCCCTCCTGTCCTCCTCCGCCCCCGCCGCCCGTCGCGCCCGCTCGCTAAGGTCGCCGTGCCCCCCCAAGCTGCGGTCGACGAGGGCAGTGGAGTTCTCTGCAGGTGTGAGTGCCTATGTTAAGAGCACGTCAGCAGATGCATATTCCTTTCTCATGGGGGAGCCCACCGTCATCCTACATGTGGAGAGTTGATTTCTCGCGTCGTGTCTTACGTTGGCCTGGCGTTCAGGACCTAATCACAAACTACTGCGGTTTGGGAGGCCCGCGGTGTAAACCGACCAGGTTTCGCGGTTTCCATTTGTCTCGGGCCTGTGATCTTTCAAAGCGTCGTCGCCCCATCCAAGGGATATGCGTGTTCTCAGGTCGGGGACGTCAACAAATCCTCCAGGGCCGCGACGGCCTTGGTGTTTACTGGAAAGCTCGCGCCGCCGCCTGTCCCAATTCGTTGCGCAATGCGATTGCCGATGCGTTCGTCGACGCCGCTGTTGATCGCGTTTTCAGGCAGAATATCCATTCCTTCCCCCGCCGCCCACCCAATCCCCACGATCGCGTGCGTCACAGAACCGCGCGCGGTATTTGGACGCCTCGAAGTCTGGCATCGTTGTTGGTTTCAGTCGTGGATTCGTTCGCTGCTGCCGCCGGCCTCGCTGCTCTCGGTCGGGTCCCACATGGCGGGTGGGGAACCTCCGAGTTGTCCTGCGAACGCGCCGGGGGCGCAGCGCGGAGTCCGTTATATTTGGCTCAAGCCTCCCGCCAAATTTTTCCGATGAGCAGAGGTCCATCCCTGCTCACGGCGGGTCGCAAGGGCAGTCTTGAGCGGCAGTGTTGTTGGCGTCAGTCGTGTATTCGTTCGTTGCTGCCGCTGGCCTCGCTTCTCTCGACTGGGCTTCGCACCGCATGCGGATGGCAGATATCATAGCTATGAAAATTAAGGGTGGGTGGGGAGCCGCCTGATGATGCTGATGCTGACGGCGATGATCAGGACATTAGTCGGCTACCAGGTCTGCAGATAGCCAGCGAGCCGACGCGCTGCCGCGGCCGAGTGGAACCGTGCTGCCGGAAATCGAAGCATTCCCGGCGAGCCTGCGACAGGCAGCGCAATTCCCACCAAAACCCACCGCCCGCGCCGAGGCGATTACGGCCAGCTGTTGCCAAGGAGAGGCCACCAAGGGCCAAGGGCTCACAGTGCACGCGAAAAGTTAGGCGTCCAGGAGTTAGCTGCCCGAGCAGTGGACGGCGTCCACCCTGCGCACGACACGAAATGGCAGTACGCCAACGTGCGCTGACCGCAGGCGCCGTTCTGTCCACCTCGGTGTGATGGATGAGCCCGATGAGTTCGCTTGCGACCGACCCCCACGCCGCCGCGATGCCGAGGAGGTCGTCCGGTGGGGTCTTGTCCACAATGCTCCTGAAGACTAAGAGGTCAGGAAGCGCCGGGACGTTGACGGCGAGGTGCAGCCCGTGGACGACGACGAAAAATTACCTTTCGGAGTTCGCTGACTCGTCGCCGTCGGTATCGGGAACAAGACCTGCACCATCATCCGGACATAGAGAGAGCCGTTGCAGCATCCACATTGCCTCCCTGAGATTGCCGCTGAAACTGAAGGTGCTGCTCGAAGCTGAAAGCTGACGGAGTCCGACGACCGCCGTCTGCAGCGCTAGGTATACGGGTGTTGCCGCTGGTGCCCACGTGCGCCTCAATGTGGGCCGCCGCGCCTCGACTCGCAAGGAGCCATGCCGCCACCGACACAAAGTCCGCCTCGAGCATCACGGTGGTCTTCACGATGATTTTCGACCTCCTGCACTCGTCGAACTTTCGCGGCCTTGGAAGTACGCCCACAAGGGCCAGGAAAATGCCCCGGGAGAGGATGTCCCCCTTGTTGAGCTGGAGCTGCAGCGTGACGAGCGGATCCCACAAGCTCTCCCCGCACCACGGCCTCGGCGACGCATTTGGTGGCAGCAGCGGACAACTGTCCGCGTGCAGCGCGCTCCAAGTGGGGGTCCCAGGGAGGGGCCTTGGGGGGGTCCCAAAGGAGGGGTCCCAGTGGCGGGTCCCAGGGGCGGATCCCAGGTGGAAGTCCCTAGGAGGGGGGGTCCGAGGGGAGCGGAGTCCCAGGGGGGGGGGGTCCCAGGAAGGGGTCCCAGGGGAGGGGGGCCGACGACGACGTTGACGTTCCGAGGGGGGGGTCCCAGAAGGGGGTCCCAGGGGACGGGGACCGACGACGACGACGACAACGACGACGACGACGACGACGACGGCGGACGACACGGCGGACGACGACGGACGATACGGCGGATGACGACGGACGGCGGCGGCGGCGGCGGCGGCTGCGGGTTTGGCGGCGGCGGCGGCGGCAGCAGCGGCGCCCCCGCGTGGACAGTTTCGGCGCCACCGGGGCCGACTTCTTTGTCTTCGTCGTCGTCGTCGTTGTCGTCGTCGCTGTCGCCGGTCGTTATTGCTGTTTCCAGTCGTCGTCGCTGTAGCTGGTCGTTGTCGTCGTCGGTCGTTGAGTAACGCTCCAGTTGGTTCGGTTGGCTGGTTTCGATTCCGACTTCGATTCCAACGCGGCAGATTCGATTCCATTTCGGATCCGAAGGGCTGCGGGGTTTTCGATCCAGTCCGATCCGATGCCCAGTTTTCCGGTTGCTCCCGATCTGCCTCGTCGACGATCGGGTTTCGAGTTTCCGGTCAGGTGGAGGCTGAGTTTGCCGCGCCGTCGTAGCATTTGTCGGGTCTGGCGTCGGAACCGCAGGCCCACGGTATTTTGACGACGATGGACGGCGGCGCGTGCGTTTCGTGCGGGCCACCGTCGACGAGGCGAAGCTCGCCGCCGAAGCCGCCATTTGGGCCGCCCCCGCTGTCATCGTCGTTGCCATCGGCAGCGCGCCAGCGGCCTGGTGCCACCTGCGGCCCCCGTGGCCCGCAGGCGACTCATGGCGCCTGGCAGCCGGCAGTCCGGAACGCCAGCCATGCCCTTGGGATCCAGGAGCACCGCGCCGGCGGCGACAAGGGCAGGGGCGCCAGCTTCCAAGTGCGTGACGCCGACTCCCGCTGGCCTCCGGGAGGCCTGCGCCACGGGCATCAGCAGCGCCGCCATCGCCCGCGATGCCGCATGACTTGGCGGACCGCCGTGTGGCGCGCCCGCACGCTGCGGCGGCTGGCCGAGGCCGCACACGCAGGGCGGCACAGCGGCTCCACCATGTTGAAGACGTTGTTGTGGACGTGGCCGAGCGCGCAGCCGAGGACGCTGCCCCTGCGGCGCCGCGTCGGGATGCGCGAGGGCGCTTGCGCACACAGGAAGGGCAGCCTAGGGGTCCACACGGCTGAGGCCTTCGCGGGGAACTGAATCCCACGCCCAAACAGGTCTAAGCCCACGCGGCCACCTAGGTAACGATGATGATGCTGATGGTGTTGACGTTGTTGTTGTTGTTGTTGTTGTTGTTGTTGTTGTTGTTGTTGTGGTTGTGGTTGTTGTTGTGGTTGTTGTTGTTGTTGTTGTTGTTGGTTGTTGTTGTTGGTTGTTGTTGTTGTTGTTGTTGTTGTTGGTGTTGTTGTTGTTACTGTTGCTGTTGTTGTTGATGATGATGATGATGATGATAATGATGGTGGTGGTGATGATGATGATGATGATGGTCCATATGGTGATGGAGATCATGATGCTGATGATGATGCTGATGATGATGATGATGATGATGATGATGATGATGATGATGATGATGATGATGATGATGATGATGATGATGCGGAGGAGGAGGAGGAGGAGGAGGAGGAGGAGGAGGAGGTTGCGGATCTGTGGCGACACGACCCCAGTCCCGCATGAGGCTGCTCTCTCTTCCTCATCCTCCCTCCCCTCCCTTCTCCATCCATTCTCTATTTGCACTGATCCCTCTTTGCCCCAGCGGGTGAAGGTTCCAGGGCAGGAAGGCTGCCTGCCTGAGAAAGAAACCCAAGCTGAGGGACGAGGCCGCCAAAGGAGTCGAACCGAGGCCTGGCGGGGGGGGGGGGGCGTCAGGCCGTTTGCGATGAGGAGGAGTGCGTGTGGTTGCAGAGCCTTTGTCAGCCTCTCCTCTTCCTGTACCTCTCTCTGTACTCCCTTTTGCGCCGCCATCTGGGCTCGCAAGGGGCCTTGAGTAAATATGCTCCTCTCCGCCTCATCTTAATACTGCTTATCATACTGCTTGCCTCGCAGCGCACTATCTGACTATTACTGCGGTATCATCCCGCAGCTGTTTGCGCTCGAAGGTGAAAAAGGAACGCACCGCTGTGCGTCCGCGCGCGGGCGTCGGCCGGCCGGCCTCCTCCCTTACCATACCTAGAGTACATTTGCTTACCGGTTGTTTTGTCTTATCCATGTCTCTTCCCGCACCCTCTACCACTGAGCAGAGTGAGCGTGAGATCTTAAATTCTTTCTCATCTTACCCCGATTCTCAGAGGAATGACTGGTTACCAACCGAAACCCGCGACATAGTCGCTACGGGTATGAGCTATGATGAGACAGATGAAATGCCCGTCTCTTCGCGAAACGCTGAACAGCAATTTGTACAACGCGACGGACAATAACTACGGAAGAGCGGCCCGGGGCAGGGCCGCCTTCCCTCTCCTAATATCGCCACTCGTGTCTCTCGGGGGAAAAGTAATGGGGAGGTGATTGACTTGTCGGAAGATGATTCTCCCTGTCGGCTCCCGATCGGTGATCGCGAACAAACCCCAGACCCGCAGAGACGGAACGGCATAACAGCAATAACTACTCGAGGAGCACTCTTGTTTTTGATCGCTGAATCCTCGGAAACAGCAAGTTCTAGCCCGATTGCTACACAGACAATCGTGCCGGCCGCTGGCAAAGCCAGTGGGTCGGGATAAGCTCACGAGTCCAGAGGCGTGTACCCCACCGTCCCAGACGGATGGGGAAACACGAGTGGAACTCACCCCACCACAGTAGCATTGAACGGACAGCTCGGCCAATATAGTGACGAGCCACTCGATAGAGAGCACGAGATAGACTCCATGGAGGAAGATTTTGATATGCCAACAAGAGAGTTTCTTTGAGCCGAGAGTTGTCCTCGATAGTGGACGCGGACCACCCCGCCCAAGGCGAGAGGTGGTCCCCAGGGCAGAACACGGTGGACTTTGAGCAAATGGATGCCCTGGAAAAAGCGTCTGCTGAACCTGATCCGGGTGTTGCTATAAGTGACCTGACGTCTCAGGCGGCCGAGGTTGAAATCGAACATCAATTTCAGGCGAAGCACGATAGGGAGCCCACAGGACGGACTCCTGCGCCTCAACTTGAACGATGATTACGACTTGAACGATTCACCGCTTCAGGAAGGATTCTATCGTTCTGCTGTCGTCTCAGGCGATTGGCAACCCTCAGTACCGGCTGTGGTTGAGGACGAAGAGATGGTTGAACATCCAGCTTCGTTTAATGAGCTGATAAGACAGGATGATAGGGATGAGGAGCTTCGGGAGGCGCCAAAACCGCCAGAATGCACGTACACGCGTCCTAGATCGAACGCTTCGAGTAGGGGAAGACCCAAGATACCAAGGTCAGGAGCTCGGTCTGCTTCAAGGAGCAACAGCATTATATCCATACATGAAACATGCTGGAACTGGGGCCCCGACTGCACGCCAAAGGCGGAGAGCAGATGCCCGGGGAAAGCCCACAGGCCAGATGGAGCCTGCAGGCGTCCAGTGTGTAAGAGTTGCTCGGATGTGTGTCCCAATTGTAGCAGTCAGTGGTTGTGTGTAGATTGCCTTCCTATGGGTGAGCACAATTGCACATATCTTCCCATGCAAGCCATGCAGGATCAGGCTAGATTTGTCGAAGCTAAAACTCAGCGGGAGTTCCTGACGCGCGAAGCGCAGCGGGCCGAGAAGACTCGACTAGAACGAGAAGAGATGACCGCAACCATCGAAGATGTTCGGAAGACGTTTGAGTCTGAAAGACTCGCCCTGGCCAAGGCTGCCAGAGAGCGGGAACAAGAGTTGGCGGAGCGAGCGCGCCATCAAACCGCCGTCGCCAAGCGGCAGGCGGAGGAAGAAGCCGAGAATCGATGCGCCGAGATGTTGGCTTCCGAACGACAGGCCGTTGCGACGGCGATTAGTCAGCCTGTTGATGCCAGAACAGTTTCCGCTGCTGTTGCGGCGGCTAGAGTAGACGGAATGAAAATTGCTGCAGCCAGGGCAGAACAAGACAAACAGGAGTTTCAAGAGCAACTCAAAAATGCCAGGCTGGAAGTATCCAATGCCCAAATTTCAGCTGCTACGAGAATCGATCTGATAAATAGATAAGGAGAAGACCTCAGATTGCATGAACATGCCGGGGCATCCCTTCAGCATGTGCAACTAACCGATTTCATGCGCCCATCGGCTATGCCGACTGGGGGATGTGGGCGACCTTTGCCGGCGGCTCAGCCGTCCGGCGCGTTGCCCTCGCGAAAACAGTTGGACTTGATAGCCGTGGGAAGCGCGACGCCGCCTGCGCTGAGGGCTGCGCATCAACCTCAGCCCGCGAAAGGGGCTGACGAAGAACAATGTTCAGTTTGTTCGAACCCGAAAGTCGGAGACTGCGCCACTTGTGGAATGCCGGGCTGCAGCGATCACTTCGACACGAATACGAAAATATGTTCGACATGCACCCGAGCAAAGAGTTTGCCAGCTGAACAAGAGAAGTGGGACGAGCAGTGGAGAGGACACAGTGCCGATAATGACTTCCGGGCCCAGCAACAAGAGCTCCTTGGCGAATGCAGCGCGCAGAGAATGAAGGAGCAGGCTGAAGAACATATTAGAATAAGTTCTAAAGGGTCGATCGTCGACGCTCGGGATCGAAATGAGACTCTAGCACCTGCAGTTGCACCAGGAAAAGACGCGATGAAGCTCCAAGCTATCATCACTAAGCCCTTCCCACATGGTGGAACAGAACAAGGCAAATTAATAAAGCCGGGGTCGTTTGAAAGACTTCTACTCTCGCAGGATGCGCCCGCAAGACCTGTCATGAAACCGCATTATTGCCCCCGGCCTTGCAATCAAAGGTCTGGCCAAGCCTGGTGCCTCCGAGCATGGCGCGCCGATCAGGATGAAGCTCGCAGGTGAAATTGAAGGAACGGATTACGTTAACTATCATCCGTTCTAAGGACGGACCTGTGAGACCGCCAGCGGTTCAGCCGTTAAGCAACGATAAAGATCATGCGCCGGCGGCGCAGCCGCAGGGCGGGGCGGGGCAGGGCAAGGGCGGTGACGACAGTAGTATCGCGCCAAGCACTGACACTCAATCCGCACCAAATGATGCCTTTCGCGGTCCGCCAGAGAAGCCGCCTCCAGGGAATCCAGGGGGGCCTGGGCCCCCAGGCGGAGGAGGCGGCGGCGTCGGTTCTCTGGGCCCAGGGGGGCCACGTGACCCGGGGGGTCTGGATGAGAGTGCCCCTTTGGACCAATGGGGGCAAGTTGGAAACAATCAAAAGGTTGATCTGATGGACATCCCCGACGCTACAAACATACGGGAGTGGCAGATGCACGCGGTTCGCGCTATTGCTGGATCTTCTCCAGAGATTTGGCTAGCACAGCGTTGGATCATGGAAGCTATTGGCCCAGCTGTGGATGGCCAACAGCTTAGAAATCCGGGTCGGCTCCAGCGTCTGGACATTATGATCGCCACTACTTTGATGGAGAAGTTCAATAAAATGCGAAAGAATCATAAATTGCTTAATCATTACATATACTTCCTCCAACAGATTAGTCGGGTGGAGTTTGGCGCCCAGGTTGAAGAGAGACTCTTGACGGGGCGCGAGATGATTCGAGCCATTTGCTACTGGTGTTCCGTTCGATCGGAGTTGGGTCAGCATCGCATTTCGCGTGATATGTGTAAATTTGTGATAGTTCCTAACCGCCCTGATGCCGACTTGTACCATTTCTACAATGAGTGGACATATGTTTACCAGCAGTTATGGCGTTCGACCTCCATCCGATGAGATGCGAGCCTCGATGCATGCACATTTCATTAAGCAGCTTAGGAAGCCCAAGAAGCTGTCCTTTGTTTGTCAGATCTACGACATGTCTAAAGACAAACTGGGAACTGGAGTGAAGTCCTGCGAGTGGCTCATGAATGATGTTGAATCGTTGATGCTGCGCGATAAGGAAGAATGGAACATCAATGTGCATGAGAGCACTCTGAATCAACGTGCTCGGCAGGCCCGTTCGGGCGGAGGTGGGGGTAACAACGATGACAATCGTTGAAATGCCAGCGACAAAGCCGCTCCGGCAGAGGTAACAGCTCGACTAGGTAAACCCACAGATGTCATGAAGAGCGGATCGACTAAGGGCGAGACGGCGTGCGAATATGTACGTAAAGGCCAGGCCTGCCCGTGCGCAGGCCAGGGGTGCCTTTTAAACCATAAGAAGCCCAAGGGTGCCGCGCCGGCTCAGCCGCGCCGGCTCAGCCGGTCGCGGGAACTAAGTCTAATGCTGCCCCAGCCCAGAACAAGAACCCGAGAGGGAGATCTGGAAAGCCCGAAGGCCGAGGCCGAAAGGGGCAGAGCCGATCACAGACCCCTACGGGGGGGCGAGGAACGGGAGCGCAGCAGAAAAATCGGAGTCAATCCAATCGATCGCGTGGGAAAGAGAGCAAGATGCCACGTTGCGCTTACTCGCGAGACCCCAAGAACTGTCGCGGACCAGCCGATGGCTGCAATAAAGAGCATAGAGGGGTGACTGATGCTGAGGGGCTTAAACGCGACAAGTACGAACAAGCGAAGCTTGATGCGGGGCAATCTCTCGGGCACGAGCGCATTGTTAAACAAGCCAACGCCGCGGCTGCTAATGTCTCGTCGTCAGCGGGCGATGGTGGCTCGAGAGCCCCCAGCAATAACTCCGAGAAAAGCAAGAAGGATGGAGACAATAATGAAGGCAAAGGTAAAGGCAAAGACATGATCTGTCGTTCTTTCAGGGACACGCGCAAATGTCCACGCGGCAAGGAAGGTTGGTTTGCCCAGACCACACC